TCAGGGAAGAGTTGATAAACGTGCGTATCTGTATTTCTTTTAAGTGGAGTGGAAGACTGAAAACTGGTTATAGCTCTAGCCACTGACTGCTCAGTCATGAGCGAACTGCTGCTGGTAGAGGCGCCTCCGAATGCATCCTCCCCAATCCAAGCTTTGCCCCCAGAAATCCTTTCCAAAATTCTCGCCTTGGTCCCCCATACAAACCGTGCTGGTTCCTATCATTGGAATATGGCAAAGTTGGAGTACAAGAGTGAATTTCATGTTCGTCCGCCAGAGCCATTCTATCACTCTAGTGCCCCCTCATATTCCCTCGGTTCGGATTTGGGCGGCGTGTGCCATAGCTGGCGTAACGTGTCCACATCGACACCAGCCCTTTGGTCTTATCTTTGGCTGGACATATGTGATGAACCGAGATTCGCTTATCCAGCACACACCATTGAACGCTTACAAGCACATCTCGAGCGCTCTAAATCCCATCCTCTCACAATCACCCTCAATCTAATGTGTTTGTATCACCAAGGCTTCGGTGACTTCATGGCACCATCAGAGGGGATCCATGTCGGCAATGAATCGCTTTCATGGAGGCTCCTTCAGTTGGTTCTTAATCACGGCAGTCGAATTCGCGCCCTTTATCTCTATTCCGCGGAGATTGAGGAATACGATTTTGCGTTGTATACGATCCCTCATATTCGCAATCGCCTCGTGAATCTTGAACATATCATCCTTCACCTCCATCCTTTAGGGTCTCGGAATGATCCTGACTGCATTCCCCAGGCGCTTTCTGAGTTACCGCTCTTACGCAGATATGACCATTACACAACATATGAACAACCACGGTTTCCAAACACCAACTTAACTCATATCACTATCGACCACATGGATATCTCGCATTTCTATTCGGTCTTGCGCGAGCTCCCATACTTAACATCAGCAGACGTTCGTCTGGTCGACGGCGGCAGTCATACAAATCCACGCAATAATATCACGATTCCTTCTCCCCTAGGATTGCGTACCTTGCGAGTTTTATTCAATGGTGGTTCCTTTGATGCTTACACAAGCCTCATCAACGTGCTCAATTGTCCGGGTTTGACCACGCTGTCGCTTGACGAGTTTTGCCCTGTTCATCACTACTGGAACTCGCAATACAAAATATACTATCCGAGAGGCCTTGCACAGTTTATACTCGCATTCGACTCCTTCATCACGCGGTCTCCCAACATCGAAAGTTTTCGAATTCAGCCGATATACTTCAAGGGCGACGATGTGCTCGGGTTCCTCAAAAACATGCCACGTCTTGTTATATTGGAGCTCGTAAATGAGGAGATATCGAAGGAGTTTTGGTTAGACATGGGTAGTGGGGACCTGGTTCCAAAGCTAAGGGACCTCCGCTTTGAGACTCATTTGAAACACTTTGATTGGGTTACGTTTGGGGAGATGCTTCAACGGAGGAAAGATCGCGGACTTTGGTCTGCGTATGTGAGGCTCAGGAATGAAACGGTACCGAGATTAGATATCTGTTTACTGGGACAGTTGCAAGTCGAAGGACTGGCGGTTCGAGTCGTATATTCAAGTCTAAAGGACGAGGAGAAAGAATTACTTGGGTATAGGATTCAATCTTAGCTACTTATGTCCTGTTCTCCTTTGATCACCTATCCCGAATCTCGAGTTATATCTTGTACATCATCTCTCCGTTTCCTGTCTTCCGAGTGCTCTACTGTGATAAGCCATTACCCGACATGTATCGTTCTGTAACACCCCCTTCTTTTTACCATTCCTGGACTCCGATCTCGCATTTACAAGGTAAGCGCATCCTCAGAGTATGCACTGAAACACTACACAACCCCAGAGAAATAAATGTGGTAGAACAAACCTATACTCGAACAGGTAACTTATACTCGACTCCGGCTGTATAATTGGCAAGGTCAAACTACTTGCAACCTCATAGCTATGTCTTTCAAAGTCGAAACCTTGGCTTTCGTATCTATACAAACAAGAGTGTTGCCAAAAATGAGATATCGCTGGAGAACCTTAACAAAATCATCATCCAGGATACCGAGGTTTATTGTGATAGACGAGGGAGTGTGATCAGGTGAAAAAGGTCGAATTATTCCACCTGCAGCGTGAAGAACGGCGACTGGATGAATACTCCCGCAATGACGTTAAAATTAAAAGCCACCGTCCTTTGCGAGATCACAGATGGAAGCTGGCGGACTCGGAGGCACTCTGTTCATAAAATGTAGACACACACTTTGTCTTCTTCGCTTCAAGTATATCCCCCAATTTCGAGTGAAGTCGTACTGTAAACGCTCTAAACCTTATATCCCAACCAGTGAGCGTGTGATTACAGCCAAGAATGTCTGCTTAGGAACGAGCTCCTAGGTATCGGGACGTCAATTGCGAATGTTCGATATTGGGCCTGCAGTACATATACATGCGTTGCAAAGCCGCACAACTTGACCTTCTAGTGTTCGCATCCGTATCGATAGAGACGTTTACCAATGGGAAGATGAGGGGAAGTGTGACAAGGTGAAAAACCAACACGAGAAGGATATGAATAGATCACTCTGGATCGCATCGTGAATGTCGATTCCATCCGAGGGCGATGACTTAGTGGACACTCCTACAATGACGTTGAAAGCCAGGTATAAGAATTAATCCCACAAAATTGAAAGGAGGCATCGGAGAGAACCCAGTTGTCTTTAAAGTTGGTGTATTCAGTCGGTATCAGGACTGACTTAGAGTGACTGATATCTCTGGTATCAAGATTCTGGAATGTGTAGATTGGATACGAGAGCGTGAGCCTTGTGAGATCACTAGCAGAAGTTGGTCAGTGCAGGTATTCTGTTCATGAGCGAACTAGGAACAGCATTATCAAAGCCAACCCATGGACGCCGGCGAATTGGGCGGAGTTGGAGGAACGTGTCGACGGATCGAGAACACGAGGAAGCCTTCTCAGTCGGTCGGATTTTGGTAGTCGAATCGATCTGTCCATCGAGCTACTCGTTATGGGAAAAAGATCGCGGTGATACACGGGCGCTTCTTTGGGGTCAGGTGATTCTTTATGCCACGTGGCAGGAGTTCTCTTTTTCCTCGACGACGATCAACCTTTCCATCGAACACACGAATAGCATCGCAAGATAATTTCGGAGAGTTGTCAGGGATAAAGGACTGATAGGTAAGCTATCTTCTCGATTGGTTTTTTTTTTTTTTATCTGACGGTCAGACTAGGAAAGTATGGGCTCAAGATGGTCAACGAGCATGCTACCAGCAGGCAAATACCGCCATATCAACGATGTGGAGATTCCCAGACTACCAGTACGTCTTACTCTCTTCCACCTTGTGTTTTTTATTCTCAGGATCAATATCAAACCAGAACGGCCTGGGTTACTCCACCACGGACCGCGACTTTGATACCGCGAAGACGATGAGCTGTATGGCCTTGGAGGTACGCTCATCGCTCCATTCTGGGGATGTGGTCTACGAGCTAACTTTTCTTTGGCAGGACTCCCAAACACCGGTCCCGGAGACGCAACCTGTCTTCTGCTCCTAGAGGAAGTCAACACGACGCTCCCTTTGAACCCTTTCCACCTGCTAGCACCCTTTTCAGCGTCTATCTAACGACATATACCAGTACCTCTCGCTTGCCATAGCGCCTACCTCATTTTGGCGCACACCAGGAGCGGGTTTTCGTTTGTCGTCGTGCTGCTTCGTCCTTCCCCATTCCTCGCTACCATCTCAGCCTGTATCTCATACCTCAAGTTCCCCATTGTGTGTGTGGAGGAGAGAACCTTCGACTCCCTCTCCGCCGGATGCGGTTAACACATAGCCTCATCCTCCATACACCCATGGCGGAAAACCAGGCTATAGCACGATTTCGAGCGATCACACAGGACTGGGGAGCAAAAGATACAAAGTCACCGTGGTGTGGGTGATGTCAAGGGGCGTTATGGGCTGTGAATGGTGTTGTTGTGCGGTATGTAGTATCTGTTCGTCTCAGGTTCTCGGGGTTAGCACTAACTCTGAACCGGAAATAGACATACCCGTGTTGATTGTTCTCGTGGCACCTTCGATACCGAAGATATTCCTTGGCTCCTTCTCAACGCCTGCCTCTTCCAGTGGAGATATCGTTTTGGTTCAAACACCCACATGTCACTATGGACGTTGGGGTCTAGCATATCACCTTCCGGGTATCCCAGAACCTTCAACCCCTCGCCCCTGTCACCCCCGTCGCCCCATAGCGAGGAGCCATTTCCTTTTCCTTCATCGAGCGTGTACCGGGACCGATATACCGGATGTCAGAGAGCTGATTCCGAGGAATGAATGGTGTTGTAGTCATCGTTTTGGGTTTTCAGCTTGGAAACGCGAACAGAGTGAACGTCGACCCGTACTACCTTCCATCAATACCTGTATTCCCCAACTCCATTTCTACACCCCTTTCTATCCCTCCATAAGCACCTCCTGCTCTCGTCCCTCGTCTATCCATGGCGCCCAACCATAGAACCGATGTAACTCGTCGAAGATATGGAGTTTTCGGGGCCGCTATTACAAGGAATGGTGACTGGTGGTGTATTCTTTCGTTTTGGGTGGCTCGTTAGGAGGAGAGTGTGATATGAGTTCGGGGCTTTGGAGGTTTGGGAACGGGAATGCGAACAGACGGACCAAGGTCTACCAGTACCACATTCGATCGATACCTGAGATTCCCCAACTACATTTCTACCACCTCCTTTCCGTTTTCGTCGCTTCTTCATCTTCTCATCCGGATGCTTCCTTTCGACGTTACCCTGACACCACTTGATACCCTTACATGTCAGGCGTCGAAGTCGAAGATACCTCTTCGTGGAGCCTCGTTCTCGATCCGTAGATCGCATTTCAATGCTCGTATCTTATGTTCGTTTTTCCTGGTGCTCGATACTTGAATATATCCTGTGTTCCGAGTGGAGATCATGTAATGTCATAGGTTTATATGTCAACGAAGCAAAAGGAAATGAATGACGAAATCTCTCCCTGGCTGGGAGTCGAACCCAGCTTTCGCGCGGTCTATAAGCTAGGCCTCAATGACAGGCGCGTGTACTAACCGATATACTACCAGGGAGTTGTGCAGCATGGAGATGCGCTTTTCAAGTGTGGATCGGCTGCACCTGCCACTGTCGATGAGTAAACTCAAGAATTGATACCGATAAGCGATAGATTCTGTTTCACTCCGCTTAGAACTTGTAAAGGGAGCTCAATGCCCCCTTCTGGGCGAGTTCCCCTGGGATTTGAGTTATAGGATTGTTAAGAGCGGAACTAACCAGGGATTGCTTATTTGTATGTTCCTGATTACTTTTGTTGTTCATTCTTGGGTGTGGGCATCTGTGTTCCGAGTTGAGATTTAGCAATTAATGTGAAGAGCAGGTAGTCATAGGTTTATATTGTGATTGCCAGTGAAGCAAAGAGATGGACTAACGTTTGCAATAGAAAAGAGAAGTTAGAAGAACGACACGTTTTGGACGCAAGAATGATCCCGCATGAGTGGTATTGTCGAATTCGAGGGTATCTACTAATCGAGAATGACTACCTTGTAATCTGTTGAGTACTTGGGGTTATCTGCAGTCGGGTAGTTCGAACGTAACATGGAAAACATGGTCGTATGGTGTATACAATCAAAAAATGCATATACGGCTTGGGCCCACCAGTCTGGACGTGACCGTACATTAGGATCGTCCATCCTCAATTGTTCCTCCTTGATGACGATGGTAGGCGTACTAGTAGGCTGTAGAACCAAGTCCGGAAGGCTGGAATGCGCGCTGGGTGGTCAGGTGGCAATTCGGGACACTCTAGGATTTCATCGCCGCTCCGGTCGTCAATTTCATTCGGACCCTGCCAATACTTTCTTTTAGACTAATGGAAATAAACTTACTGACGATGGGGATTACAGGTTTCCAAAAGGGCAATAGAATGTCGTCCAAAACATCGGAAACAAATCCCAGTGCTCGGTAAATGAACGTGAGAAGAGTTTCACGCAAGGGAGGCATGGTTCGAATTTGAGAACTCTTGCGTATTAGAGAGTATTCGTGGGCGTATATACGGAATTTTTCCCGTACAAAACATGCTCCACTTTGTATATCCGGAGAATTTTTCAATCCGCAAGTTGTAAGAATTGTAGGACATTTGTCGTATATACTGGTTCTATACAATTATCTTTGTACGACGTTTCAGCTCCTTTTTACCTTGTCCTCAGCTACTATGCCACGAGATACCATGGTATTAGTTCTCGGTGCGATTCCCTTCCTCTCTCAACTTGCCTTACCTCAAACTCTCACCAATGATTTTTCGGTCCATCTATCTTCTGCCTATGTGACGACGTTCGTTGCAACGGCATCCCTATGTGCTGCACATTACACGTTTCTCCAAAGTCATGGTCGGACTAGCCCACGTCCAAGACAAGGCGGTGTACGGATTTCAAAAGAGTGGTTGTTGGAACGGAGTGATGAGGAGAACATATGGCAGTTTCGGTATGTTTCAATGATTAGTAGAGGATTGAGGAAGTGTTACTCATATGGATTCACCAAGTGCAACTGCTCAAGAACTCTTTGCAATTGTCTCAGCAATACGCTTACCGGAACTGGTCGTAACTCGTTCAGGTCACCACTTCACAGCTATTGAAGCTTTGTGCCTCACACTGGCACGCTTTCGGAGTGCAGGAGACCTGTTTGAGCTTTGTGCCAAGTTCAGTCGTAGCCAGTCTGCTATCTCTGAGGTCGTCAATTGGGTTACCATGTGGGCAAATGATCGATGGAAGCACCTTCTCGACTTCGACCATGAACATCTTCTCTCCAAAGCCAACCTTGCGCGATATGCAGACGCAGTTCATCGAGCAGGGGCCCCCTTGTCCGGTGTTTGGGGCTTCTTAGACTGCACTATCCGAAAGATATGTCGTCCCACATTCTATCAACGAGTCGCATACAATGGATACAAGAAGATACATGCTCTGAAGTATCAGGCTGTCATGCTCCCAAACGGGATGTTCGGGCACCTTTACGGACCTCTTCCTGGACGCAACAACGATAACTATTTGTTGGACGAAAGCGGCCTCATCCAGTCATGCACATTATACGCCATTCGAGAGGGTATCGACTCGGAGGAACGATTCTTACAGTTATTTGGAGATCCAGCCTACGGGCTAAGCCGACAGCTCCTTAGCCCCTTCAGCGGAGCCGGTGAACGTACGCGGGAGGAGTTAGACTGGAATTATGCCATGTCGTCAGTCAGGATTGAAGTGGAACATGGTTTTGGTATTGTCACTAATAACTGGCCGTTTCTCAATGCTTCATGGAAGATGAAGGTATACCAGTCTCCCGTGGGTTCATATTACAGGTTTGCAGCACTCATGAACAATGCTCTGAACTGTCTACGGCCCAACCAAGTATCAGTAGCCTTTAACTGTCCACCTCCCACTCTGTACGAGTACTTTCACGATTGAATAAATGTGTAGCAGCATGATGATGGAGAGGGTGACGTCGGCGGTACTGTGCCCCTTGCAACTGGCACTGCAGTGCAATATACAGGACCCTACCAACAGGCTACAGATGCTCTTTCTTCACGGTGGAATGACTTCATTCGACAGGAACAGTGACGCGTGGAACAATAGCCGAAGTCCATCCTGGAAGGTATTTAAGGCCACCGTAACTCGTTCAGAGAAGCAACAAACGCACCATGGATCTTAACTTCTTTGGCCAAATGATGTCTCAGCCAGTCTCCCGAGAGGAGCTGGCTCTCGCATTCGACCTTTCTCCAGACGCCGACTTCTTGAACTCTCTATTTGATACCTCCGACCCGGCCCTGCACTCTCCGCAACCAAGCTACGAGTCCTCTCAGCGTGCTAGGCCCTCTCAACCTCAACTCTCAACCCCATCCTCTTCTGGTGGCAGCCTTCCACCACCTTCCTCTTCTCCGTCAACTGCTTCGTCTAACAGCAGTCCGCCTCAGAATGCTACCCAGCCTAAGGCCGCCACTCCGGTGAAAGATAAGGCACCAACAAAGGGTAGGGCTCCGAACGTGAAGGTGACGCCAGTGGCACTCGAGCAACTTGTTCGACTTGTCAACGACAAGAATCCATATACCGCTGGGCATGGCGAAAAGGGAAAGGGATGGGAGAGTGTACGTGAGAAGTTGAATGCAATGGGTCATATGCAGGGTGTGACAGCAGCAGCATTGAGGAAGCGAGTCGACGACATGCTAAAGGCCCACAAAGTAAGTCATTGTCCATTAACACAAGTCTGGACACTTACCCTTGATTTAAGGATGGGAAGAGCTTCGACACCACCAGAGGTATGACCAAACGAGTGAAAATCAACACCGCCTCTCTTCTGGACAAGATTGGAAGGGAGAAAGAGGTGTGTGAGTCTCAAACGGAGCAGGAGCGAGAAGCACATAAACAGGTACGCACTTTTGACCCATCCTGGCCTCCTGAACCTCTCTCTCTAATTCGTCGTTGTAGATTGTTGCGGAGAACACTGCAGGAGGCATGAGTATTCGTCAGCAAGCTATGCAAACTCGCCCTGGAAAAAGGAACGCTCACCAGGTCGAATCTGATCAGGATGATTCATCTGACGAAGAGAACACCACACCCAGTAGTAGCCAGACCTCAAGCTCAGAGCCCCCCAAGAAGAAGGCAAAACTCGCTCGCTCTGGGAGCAACCTCAGCGACATTTCCTCTCAGTTCAACCAGCAGATCAAATCATTGGAGAAGAAGGTAGAGGAAAGCAAGGAGCAGGTTGCGGAGATGATAAAGACAAGCAAGCAGAGCCTGGAAGCATACAAAAATGCTCAGGATAGGTATGCGAAGATTCTGGCGAAGGGTATGGGGGTCGAGGAGGACAATGAGTGATGACGACGTGCCCGTTGTCTCCCACGTTGCTGAGTCGCACCTGGCACGCCTTACGCAACGTCTTTCTTGGGTATTTCTTGGGCCAGGACACATGTATAGTACATATCACTTTGTAAAATTTACAGGAAATTTGCAGCTCCACTTTGGGAAATTTGCGTGAAGAACTAAGTCAAATTTGTATGTACGGAAACCGTATATACGCCCACGAATACTCTCTATTGTGTATTTAAATAGTAACGTCCGGACAGTGATGTTATATTCTTCCGCTACTTAACCGAATAGTATCAAATTGTTTGAGTAGGAGCCTCTTTTCGTGTGTGACTACATGTATTTGTAATTGTACAAGCCTTTGAGAAACAAAGATATCTCTACAAAAAGATGTCACAGTCAATCACAAGATGTTTGAATTATGTTTCACTCCTTCACCCGTTTGGTGTGTACGGAGACATACTTTTACCATCGATGAGATCAAGTGTAAGACATAAAGCAGTAAACCTCACGTAACAACTAGGTATCTCCTGTGTATCCAAGAATCTCGTCCTCGTATTGCACCACTCGAACAGCAAAACCTTCGCGTTGCAGCTCTCGCAGGTATTCCAGGTCCAAATCCGATGCCGTTGTACGGGTTACCCTCAGACACGCAGATTGGAATAAGCGCGCCGATTCAGTGGACCTCGCACGCCGCAGCATACCCTCGAATGCACCCTTCTCGAGTTCATGACGAGAAAGCTCGAGACTCAAGTCCCTTAACCTCGGTAAAATCTTTCCATCCCCCAATTCCTGCAAGAAATCCTTGGTGAAGAGAGTACGCCCCCTGCCAGAAATGTCGGCGATGGAAAACACCACGACGTTTGTCATCCGTTCAAGGATCGACATGACATGCTGCTCATCTAAGCATGCTGAGATGAGATGGAAATCTACGACATTGGGACATCGGCCAACAAAGGAAATGAGTTCGTTGGCGAGGGACTGAAGAGAATCATTCAGGGTTCGCAGCGCATCCGGTCCCCTACGATGGGATTGCATATCCTGTTGTGGCAACTGAAGTAATAAGCTACTCAGCGCAGGAAAGTTGAATAGCCCGAAAAGATCCGGAAAGGCGTCAAACGTGACAAAGTCATCGTCCCTAAATCTAACGCGTAGCGTTCGAAGGTGCTGGAGAGGGGGTATTGACATATCCGGGGAAAGGGTCGTATCTTTGTATTCCGAGTTATCAACGAAGG